CTTCGTCTTCCCGAGGCTGCGGGACTTCACCCTTGCCATGGCCGCCCGGAAAGCTTCCCGGGTCCGGGTGCCCTTCCCCTGGGTAGGCACGGGGCAGCTGGTCTATGGTGGCTTTCTTTATTATGCCCGGAGGCCTCCCGGAGGACCCGGAGGGGGAGGGGAGTTGGAGAACACTTTGCAGCTCATCAAATTCCATCTGGCAAACCGAACGGTGGTGGACAGCTCAGTATTCCCGGCGGAGGGTTTGATCCCCCCATACGGGCTGACAGCGGACACGTACATTGACCTGGCAGCCGACGAGGAGGGCCTCTGGGCTGTCTATGCCACTCGGGAAGATGACAGGCACTTGTGTCTGGCCAAGTTGGACCCACAGACGCTGGACACAGAGCAGCAGTGGGACACCCCGTGCCCCAGGGAGAATGCTGAGGCCGCCTTCGTCATCTGTGGGACCCTATACGTTGTCTATAACACCCGCCCTGCCAGCCGGGCCCGCATCCAGTGCTCCTTTGATGCCAGTGGCACGCTGACCCCTGAAAGGGCGGCACTCCCTTATTTCCCCCGCCGATACGGTGCCCACGCCAGTCTCCGCTATAACCCCCGGGAGCGTCAGCTCTACGCCTGGGACGACGGCTACCAGATTGTCTATAAGCTGGAGCTGAGAAAGAAAGAGGAAGAAGTCTGAGGACCTAGCTTTGGGGTTTGAATCTCTCTCACCTCCACACATTTATATCCCCACACCATTTCCTGCTTCTCATTCTCCAGATGTGGGCAAGTTGTGGTTCCGAGCCCATATTGGCAGCCAATGGAAGCCAGATTCTCACAGCCCCTTCGTTTCCTGTGGGACTTTAGATCTTGAGAAATCCTTTCAGAGCTAAAAGAGAGAAGACCCTAAGCGTTCGCTCCTCTCCTGCCTTACGTCAATGAATTTCGGACCAGAGACCACAAAGACCCAGAGCTCTGACCCTTGTATGGGGGCCACCCCAGCAAATGAGCCAAAAAGTATTTCTTGCCTCAGTGTGAGTCCGGGCACGTGGGGTGGGGTGGGGTGGAGGGAAGGTGGTTGGGGGGGGGGTGGTGGGCAGAGTTCTGGGAGGAGATTTTTCAACTCTGCCCTGCCTCCCTTCTCCCCTTAGCACCCTGGAGAACACGACTTTCTCCACGTCGTTTTGTATTGCAACATTTTGCATTAAAAGGCACATCCACTGCTCCCCGCCTGCGTTTGTTTGGGGGTAGCCCTCAGATCAAGTTTCTCCCCATGACCCTCCATTTTCCTCCTCCACCCCATTGCCACTCCTTAAGCCACAGTAGGGACTTGGCTGGGCTTCCTTGCTGAGGGAGAGGGGACTTCTCCAGTTACAGATTTTACTGTGAGGCGCCCGGGGAAGCACAGAATCCCGCCACTTCAGGAGGCTGGGCGAGAGGCTTCTCTCCACACCCACCTCTGATCCACGGCAGCCCCTCCCAGAGCCCAGAGCCACTCTTGGTGCCCCACCCCTGGCCCAGAGACTGAGGCCAGGCGGGCAGAGCTTCTAATTCTTCTAGTTCTCAGAGGTTTGGGACCAGAAAATGGATTCTAGTCGCCTTGGAGTGTAGGGCGAAGACCAGAGCCCTGAAATGTGTTTCCAGAAGGAACTTTTAGTCTCACTTTGGAGGTGGACTCTGTCCTGGCCCCAGACCCCACTCCCCTCTCCAGCTCGGGGCGGTCCCCAGGGCTCGGTTACACAACCCAGCTTGCTCCCAACCGCTCTGATTTCCCTGCTGCCACGGCGTCTGCGGTTTGGGCAAGGAGGAGGGGCGATGACCATGCCCCAGATGTTAGTTTTCCCAGTTTCCCAACACAGCCCTCTGGTCACCCCCACCTACCCGCTGCAGTCCTGGAACCTGGCTGGAGTCTGTCCAGGAGGTCCTGGACACCTAACCCTTTCCTGCCCTGGCCACTGGCTTGGAATTATAGAAGGCCATCTGGGGAAGGGAGAGGGAGCAGAGGAGGAGAACCCTGGGTTTTGGACTCCTGCCTCCAGGAATGTGCTGAGCTCGGGGCCAGGCCCCACCCAGCCTCATGCCCCCATTCAGCGCTCAAGGCCATGTACGTGTGATGGACAAGACCTTGTTGCCTTTATGGGGGGGGAGCAGGCCTCAGGAAGCTCTGGGAGTCCTCACTGTGGGGAGGAGAAAGGAGCACATCTTTTCCCTGAAGTGCACCCGCTCCCCCACCCCACGCCCAGGATAGGGTGGATCAGCCAGGGCCCTGTGATCCTCCTTTTGTCTTCTTTTCTTCTCTCCCCGGGGCAGAGCTGCCCCTGACGTAGGTTGGTGAGGAAGGAAAAGAAAGGCAGTGAAGCACCTCACAAAGGCGCTATTGTGGGGAGCCCGGGGCGGGAGGGGGGCTCTCTCCCATTCAATTCTCTCCTAATGTGGGGCTGGCAACGGTAATCACCGCCTGTCACACACGGAGGGGGCTGCCCACGGAACATCTGGCTCCTGCATGTGGTGCACAGGGGGGCTGTGGAGGAGACGGGGAGTTCTCACTGGAGGCCTGGGGAGAGGGGGTCCCCGCCCAGCGGAGGGGCAGCGTGGCACCGTCGCTGTGTGTGCGCGTGCGGGTGCACCTGGGGAGGGTGGCCTCCTTGCCCGCGTGACACCGTGCGTCAGTGTGATCGGAAGCTGCCAGGGGCTGGGGCTGAGTCTGTGGAGTTACCTTGCTGGGGTAGCAGACATCAGAAATGGCTTTTGGAGGACCCTGAGGAGAGAACAGCTCTGAGACAGCGCGTAAATGACATCAGCCTGAGGAGCAGAGTTTAAAATCCCGGTCCTTCTGCCTCCCGCGTGTGGGCACCTGTCTTTGGGGGCATCTTTCTTGGCCTGAATCCTCAATGAGAAAGACAAAAACAGCCTTTTCTTTCTTTCTTTTTTTTTTTTGTTTTGGCTTAAATTTTCTTTAGAAAAGTTCACTCAGACTTTTCTGAAAGGGCAGAAATCTCCGGGGCCTTGTCATTTATTACTTTTTGCTTTTTTTTTTTTTTTTTTTTGGCTCTTGTACAATAGCTAGTGCTATTTTGGAAGCGTTTTGGAAGGTGAGTGGAACTGTGTGGGCAGATCCAGTGAACTGTCCAGATTCATTAAACTAAATTATCTGCTGCTCAAGGAGAGAGGCTCGGTAGCTGAATCCTATCATCAGACACCAGCCTCACCGCCCCTTGTCGGACCCTCCATAACCCGTCACGTGGCAGAGACAGGTGTGACCTCTGGTTTGGGTTGAACCAAAGACAGTGGAAAGCAGAGGTCCTAATGGTGGAGAAGGGACTAAAAGCTCAAAGAGTAGCTCCACATTTGCTTCCAACACCTGGCCGGCCCTACGACGGTTAGCGGCCCAGGCCTCCGGGTACAGCTGTCAGCCCAGATGGGTGGTCTAGACGTTGCCCCCATCACAAGGCCGGGTGGAGAGGGCTCCCCTTCCCCTACACTGGCCCCCAGTCTCCTGCCCTAACTCCCAAGCTCTCCGCTCTGTGCTCAGTATCTTCTCCTCCCTGGTGCTGGTCTTCGTGTCTGCCTGCCGGAGAAACCAAAGTGATCGTCTTGCCATTTTCATCAAGGATAAGCCAACGTTGCGTGAGCCCTGGATGGCGGGGAGGGAAGCGCAGAGATGTGAGGATGAAGCAGTTGATTCAGGTGTCGGGGCTTCCTCTGGGACAGGGCTGTGGGCTAAGCAGGAAGCAGAGCCCTTTGGCTCGTCCTCCCCAGGCTCAGTCCCTCTCCTTGTGCACACGCCCCTTCCTTCCCTCAGGCTCCTGGGATCCTCCCCCAACAGTGCTCCCATTCTTTACCTGTTCAGGTCAAAACCCGCTCATTTTGAGAGCTGCTGACACTCCTGATAGTTCTCCCAGCTTTCAGGATGGCTCTCTTGAGGACCCGCCGTCCGGCCTGTCTCTGGCTGCCTCTTCAGGCAGTGGTCTCCAGTGCAAGAGCTTTTCTGTCGGAGGGCAGGCCAGGGGGTCCCTCCACCCTTAGCCCCTATCAGCAGCTGCTGCCTCTCCTCCCTCCTCCTCCGCCCCAGCAGCCTGGACGCTCTTCCCTTGCTACCCCCCTAACCCCCACCAAACCAACGTTGATGAGCTCTCCTCTCTCTGCCTGCCCTTTAACTTCTGCCCTCACGATGCAGAGCTTAAAAGATTAAATCTTTATTTATGGATTTAATAACGCCACAGAAGACTTATAAATGCGAAGCCAATGTATTACTTTAAAGGGCAGACCTCTCAGCACCGTCTCTCCAGAACATGGGTGCTGACAATATCTAGAGCTGGACACCTGTCCAGAGCACTCCAGCATGACCTTTGGGGGTCTGCCCAGCCACCCAAACTCTGCCTTCTCTGAGAATGGACACCCACACTCCCTGGCCTTAGCCTTGTGGCCCCAGGGGAACAAATCACATTGTCTCCTGGGGACTTAGAATGGCAGCTCAGAGATGTTAGATCTGAGCAGGTGTTTGGAAGCATCTTCGGCCCTGCTACCTACCAGAGGCAGCGAAAGCCAGACTACAGAGAGGAAAGATGAACAGGGTGGAGACTGGGCGAGACGGCCGCTGAGTGATGTCCCCCCCCACTCCATCCCCCCTGTGCTCACAATGCACTTCTAGCCTGGGTTCTGTGAAATGCCTGACTTCTTTAAAGAAACACTCCCTTTCTTGTTTGTTTTTCTTTCTTTTTTTTTTAAATTAATGTTTATTTATTTTTGAGACAGAGAGACAGACTGAGCATGAGCAGGGGAGGGGCAGAGGGAGCCAGAGACACAGAATCCAAAGCAGGCTCCAGGCTCTGAGCTGTCAGCACAGAGCCTGACGCAGGGCTCGAACCCACAAACCGCGAGATCATGACCTGAGCCAAAGTCGGACGCTTAATCTACTGAGCCGCCCAGGCGCCCCGCGTGTTTGTTTTTCTTTTCTTTCTTTTTCTCAAGTTAGTATGAGTGGGTTTCAATTTCTTACAACCCAAAGATGATGCCTCATCCTCACCTTACCTCACCACCGAAAACACTCACCTGGTCTAGACTGCTGGGCAGGTGGCCTTGACCCTCCAGGATGTTCCTCCCCGTCCATGACCCAGAGGACGCACCAGAACAATGAAAGAACCTGTGCGGGCCTGTGATGCCTTCTCCACATCACCTTCCAGATGGCGGGGCAGTGCCCCTTCCCTGCTGTGTTCATCCATGGTGGGCTGTTTCTGTCTCCAGCAGAGCGCTGCTGGCCCAGTGTTCTCTGTGGCAACCCTGCATGTTAGAAAGAGCACAAACTTTAGAGTCTGGTGAGCTTGGAGTCCGAGCTCCTGGGATCAGCATCAGGCTCTGCCACTTACTGCTGTGATACCTCCAGCAAGTTACTTAATACTCATCTATAAACTAAAAATATCTGCCCAATAGGATTGTTGCTGCAAGAATGAGAGGTTATATACATGGAAACTCTTTAGCAGTGTGGACAGTCAGTACAGAGCTCTGAAACCCCACTTCCTTGGGGAGGCTCTTGGAACCTGTTCCACGCCCACCCGAAAGGGTCAGGTGCCTCTCCTTTGGGCCCCGATTCACCTGGACACATCCTCATTGCGGCCCGCATCACAATGTATTGTATCTTGCTCGTCTTTGTGTCCCCGGGACGTAACACAGAGCCCGGCTCATAGATGGGGCTCAGAAAAATACTAGTACAGGTTCCCCCACCCGACTGTGAACCCTCGGAGCTCTGGGCCTATTTGTCTCCCACCTCGGGACCTCACGCAGGAGGGGCACATCCCCAGCAAGCGGTTAATGTCCTCGGCAGCATCTTTCAATTCAGTTGGACAAAGACAAGCTACAGATAAAAACTGAAGGCAGTCTCCTTCAACTGCAGATCACACAGGACTTCCCACAGTGACAATTTCTCGCTCCAGCATCTAAGGGGAAAGTCTCAAACTAGGCCAGTGCATCTAAGCCCTGTGGCCACAGGGGAGGAAGGCAATAAAACCACAGAAGGTAGTGGGAAGACCTTTCTTGTTCAGCATCTGGTTCCTGGTGAAGGCTCTGAAGTAGGTTATGCTGCTCACCCCTCCCCCCCCTCCCCCCCCCCAACTACCCAGCCTGGCCCCTGCTGCTTGCCCCTTACTTCACCCCTGCGAGCCTCCGTTTCTTCACTCCTAGAATGTGCGTCATAGTACCACTTCACAGATTATTGTGAGAAGTAAATGAAACGAGTCTTGCAAAGCAGTGCGCCCCATGCCTGGCACGTAGTAGGTGCTTGGTAAGTGTCGTTATTGTTAGCAATGTCGTCATGATTGCAGGAGAGTCTTTGCAGAGAGCAATGTGCTCGTGCATTTTGTCTCCTTTGATCTTTACAACAATTCTGAGATAAGCTGGTCTCGGGAGCCAAGGGGTTTGTCTAAGTCCACAGAGCTAATAAGTACTGGGGCAGAACCTATGGCTTGGAGGCTGTGGGAGGAGTGGAACCAGCTGGGGCTCTGAACTCAGGCTGAGTTCGAATCCTTGCTGTGCAATTCCATAGCCAGGTAAGCCTGAGCGAATCCATTCTCTGGGCTTCAGGGAATATTACCCACCCCGGAGGCATGGATGAGCCCATGTGTTAAAACAGCTAAGAGAGCATCCAGGATAATAAAGATGCTTAACCCAAGCTCATTCCCCGGGGCCGATTCTTGCTGTCTAATCATGGGGAGTGTGCTGGTGGCCATCTCTGGTGTTACAAACCATTTGTCTGGATCCAGTGGCTCTCTGACTGCCTTCTCTCTCCATTTGTACATTGTCTGTAGAAAGACATGCCACCTGTTGCCCAACCATAGATCTCTGCATTACTGGTAACAGCGGGGTTGACAGATATCCTGCGCCTGCCGTCAGGGAAAAAAGCAGGGTGTATGGAAAAAGCACCCCTTTTTCTCTGTGCTGAAACAACTCTGCCAGCGGCAATGTGTGTGTTTGGTGTTTAGTTGTCTTTTTTTCCTTTCCTTTCCTTTCCTTTCCTTTCCTTTCCTTTCCTTTCCTTTCCTTTTCTTTTCTTTTCTTTCTTTTCTTTTCTTTCTAAACACAGTACTCCCAAGCTGCCTTTTTCCTTCGACCACATTTTCTCTCAAAGATACCTTTGAGCTGTTTCATAGTTGTTCAGCATGTGTCCCTGGCAGACATCACTATTGACTTTTTTGACTTACCTTGCTGTTGATCTTGACAGATCCTTCAATGCCATTTTGGTTGTATCGGGTCTTCCGGATATTTATTGCTGTCCAGTTGCACATGGCTTTGTTCTGTAGCTGCTGAATGTTGTATTCCAGATGGGTAAATCCATGCACTTGTCAGATGCATGGACTGTTCTGGACTGTTCTCCACCTATTTGGCCTGCCCTTTTGGAGGAAGGAAGATAGTGCAGAGAGAGCCCAGGGGTGAGGAGAAGACCCTTCTAGTGGGTGTGATTGGTCCATGGGGCTGACTGTCCTGCCTCTCTGCTCCTCATCAACTGTGTGATCTTGAGCCAGACACTAACCCCTCTGAGCCATGGTTTGTTCATTTGCAAAACAGGATTATGGGACCCGGATTACCACCTCTTAGGATTGTTGAGGTTCAAGCCCTAATACATAAAGCTTATGTGTTGGGACCTCTAGGAAGGAATCTTAGGAATCACTGAGTTTGGCTCCCTCATTTCACAGCTGAAGAAACTGAAGTCGAGAGAGCCTTTTGAAGGCAGGGAATGTACCTCATCCATCTTTCTATCCCTGGATCCAGAGTCAGATACTTACTAGGTGTTTAATAAGTACCTTGTAAATGAGTTGAGTGACCAGCTCATGATTTAATCTCTCTTGGTGACTCTGTTGTTATCAACATCAATTCCTACTGTGCTGCTCTGCCATGATGCCTTCGCAACCAATTAGGCTGTAATAGAATGTGGCTACTATGATTTTCCGCTTAATGTTTCTTCTCTTCTTCTTCTCTTCTCTTACTGTTACCTATCGGTTCTTCCTGGAGAACTGGATTGGATCCCTTAGAGGAATCGGCATCACTTTCTAATTGGCTGTTCTCTCTAGGCTGGAGCAAGAGTGAAGGGCTTTGAAGGACTTAAAGTTGGTACCTTTATGGGAGTCACAAGGAGCGTTGCAAAATATTCCACAGACCAGAAGCACAGCCTCTTTTAAGCTCGAAGTTGTCTAAAGTCATCTGGTCTTACCCGCTAAAGTCATGCAAGTATTTTCTAACTCACTGCACCCTTTCTAGTGCCTTCTACGCATGGCATGACTAGTTTACTCAGTGAAGCAGGTGATGGTAGTGGCTGGTAATGGCCGAGGAATGCACTGGCTTCTATCCCCTGGAATCTCTATCCAGTGACCTGGATTCTTAAGTACTTTTCTCTCCCAGCATAGGGGAGGTAAACACACATAGATGTGGATTTCTCCTCTCGTTTCTGATTATGACCTAGTGAATTCCCTTCTCTTGTTCTCTCTGTCCTTGCCAGCCCTCCTGAGTCCTGATCAAGGTGAAATATTCTTTACTGTTATAAACTAGTAAAGGTATCCACACAAGTTTAATAATAATTCAGTAGGTAAGGGGAGACATAGGGGAAATGTTAGTTGTATCATTGGATTTTAAATTGAGATAGGAGTAATCTCATTTAGACGAATTTCAATAATCAATTGAAAGCCTGTAAGTTGCAGATAGATTACCAGCCGTAAATTGGGATTTATGTGCTGTGGGTTTTTAATGAGGGCAACTCAGGCAGCTCAGCACTTGAACTGATTCACGTCTGGAAAGCACCAGCTGGCTCAGCCTCGCCGCGGGCAGTGCAGCAGAAGGGCACGGAGCAGACATCAAGTTCAAGTTGTAGGCAATATCAATACCTCCCTCCCGGGGATGGTGTGATGACTAAATGAGATCATGTATGTGAAAGGGTTTTGTAAATCATAAAGCACACAAATGCCAGCCGCTCACAATACCTGTTTCAAAATTAGCATCAGTGTCTCGTGTCTGTGCCGGGTTTTGGGCAGACAAGGAACAGGACAGACCGAGGAGCCTATCTGGCAAGGAGCAAAGGGATGCTGTGCGGATGAACAGTCGTAATTAGAGGAGTCGATTATTACAAACAAAGGGAACGTGTAAGTATCCCAGACTCAAAAAGGGGATATGAAGTCTATCTTACCTGGACCCTGTATGGGATTGAACTGCTGTAAGTGGTCATCAGCAGGCAGGAAATACAAAGCCAAAGAAGGCATTCAGAGTGCATGGTTCGGAACACCACGAGAGAGCAGAGTGAAGCCCAAAGCCTAGTTCCCAGAGCAGGAAGAAAATCAGGGTGAGATGCAGGTTGGAGTCAGGAAGGCCATTGAGAGACGCTGAAGTCTGAATGCTGCCCATGTGAGAAGCAACATCTGTGGGAACGCTTCAATGTCAGAGCCAACTGGGACAGATGATTGATTAATTAAAAATGTTATGAATATTGATGCAGTATTTACTATGTCCTACATGCTTATTTACAATATTGAATAAGACAGATATGGATATGTCTTCACAGCCTGGGGACCGGTGGGATAAAGGGATGAATAAATAAACAGGCAACTATGTTACACTGTGGTGGGATTATGGGATAGGAGGACCTTCTGTCCTAGCCTTGCCTGGGGGAGGGGTGAGGCAGCTACTGGAGGCTCCTCAGCCTGAGCCGGAGGGACACCCAAGCAGGCTCCTCCCCACACCATTGCCACTGCTGTTGCCATCACTCAACTGGACCATTGCAAGAGGCTCCCGATTGACCACCTTCTCCAAGAGTCTCTCCTGGCTCCCACACACGGAGTCAGTCACTGTATGTCACTATTTGTTAATGGACCCATCCCCCTGGATTAGCTGTGAAACTGCCCCGTCTGTGGGGAAACAGCCCCTCGAGAGCCAGGACAGGAACTTCCCCTTTATGGCGTCAGTACCTAATGCTCAGGGAGTGCTTGTGGAAAACAGGCATAAAGGCCCACAGAGAGAAAGGAGGGTCTTTACCGTCCAGGGGGCTGTCCTCTCCCCGCAGGGATGTTCTCCACGAGCTGGAGAGGCAAGTGCCCCAGACACGGGGTTTTTTCACAGGTGTAAGCTCTCCAGAAGCAGCCGCTCCTCTCCGGAATGTGGAAATGTGCCAGAGGCCAGCTGCCTGAGGGCCAGAACCCAGAGGCGATCTTTTGTTTTGCACGCCATTTTCTTTGCAGCTCTTCCGGGGACCTTGCTGCCAGCCCTGCATGCCCTGGGGCCCAGATTCTCTGGACACCCCCACAGTTCACATGTGCTCTGGGCTGTGGCTTCTGCGGGGCACCCACCTCTGGGGCGGGCCACCACAGAGAAATAATAAACAGCAGCACTGCTTCCAGAGCCCTCTGCACCCGCAGGGCACGGTCTCACTTAACCCTCGAAACTACTGGTCCCACCGACAAGTATTTAACGAGAGCCCGTTTGCGCTGGGGGTCGAGAAGGACACGGTGATGCATTTTGTGCTTCAGGAGCTGACAATTCAGGTGAGGTGGGGGCACGGGGCGGGGTTACAGGTAGGATGGTGATAATAAGGCACACGTTTCCCTCAGCTCCGTAAGACTGCATGGGTGGTTGACATATAGTACCTTGAAGGGAGGGTGCTTCATAAGAACTCCAAGGGGGAAGCGGTCATACTTCCATGAGGGAGATTTGAAGAGGCGCCATAAAAGGGGTGACGTGTGAGGTAGGCCTTGGAGGGAGGGAAGACTGGACATCAAGAACGTTCCGGGAGGAAGGACTAGCGCGAGCAGAGGTGTGGACTATGAGAACATAAATTGCCTCCAATTGTGCAACAGGTTTAAATCAAAAAGGCTACAGGGATTTTGGTTGATATCAGGTTTATGCAAGCAGGTACTATGAAGTGTGGCTGCTCCAAAAGATGGTACTTCTTAGGCCGAATTAGTAGAAGCCCAGCATTAGCATGCTGGGGGAAACAGTCCTGTGTCACTCCGCTGTGGTTAGGCCGCAGAAGCAGTGTTCCCTTCTGCCCTAGGGGAAGACGATATTTAGAGGTGCTATGACTTATTAGGCACCTGCCATGTGCTAAGCTCCTGTGAGATGTCTGCATGCATTCTTTTTTGTTTTCTTTCAAATTTTTATTTAAATTCTAGTTAGTTAACATAGAGTGCGCTATTGGTTTCAGAAGTAGAATTCAGTGATTCATCACTTACATACAACACCCAGTGCTCATCGCAAGTGCCCTCCTTAATATCTACCGCCTATTAAATGCACCCTCACCCTCCTCCCTCCATCTTCCCTCAGTTTGTTCTCTGTCTTTGAGAGTCTCTCATAGTTTGTTTCCTCTCTTCCCCCACCCAGTGTGTTCATCTATTTAGTTTCTTAAAATCCACGAATGAGTGAAATCATGTGGTATTTGTCTTCCTCTGATTGATTTATTTTGCTTAGCATAATACACTCTAGCTCTATCCATGTCATTGTAAACGGCAAAATTTCCTTCTTTTTGATGGCTGTGTAATATTCCATTGTACATACATACACACACACACACACACACACACATATATATATATATATATATATATATATATATATATATATATAT